CAGCTCGGGATCATTCATTTATTCATTTTCTTCCCTGGCAACCCAGATGTTCTTTTAAGAGAGAGGAAGGGCAGGTGGTAGAAAAGCTCCCTACTCCAGGAAGCCCTCCTTGATCACCCAAAGGGACCAGAGCTCACCTCTCGTCCTTTAGGGATCTGACAACTTAGGTTTTAAATGTATTTTATTCCCCAAGCTGCCCATGCTGGTGGCAACAAACGGGAAGAATGAGAAACAAGGTGAATGTTTGTGTCCCTCTTGGAGCTCTTGATGACATATTGCAGCCTTTCCTGGTCTTGAGCACTTGTCTCTCCACTGGGGGCCCTTTCCTGGGGAGCTGTGAGCATAGGGTCCACCCCTTCCAGCACATGATCCCACCAACCATGGTACGTGGGCCTCCGCTGCAGCTCCAGCCAGCCCCTCCCAGGAGCAGCTGTCTCCCCGTTGGTCCTTCCTGTCTGGGCCATGGATATTTTTAGCACCAAATCCGGAACCCACACCACAGCAGCTGCTCTTGGCCAAAGTGCAAGAACAGCAAATCATGCAGGTGGGCTGTGTCAGGCCTGGGCTGCAAAGGGAGCTACCTAGGTCTGGGCCTTCTGATCCTAGCAGAATTCAGATGTTCCAAGAATGAGCTGGCCTCCAGGAACAATGGGGATGGAGGAGGCAGAGTCAAGCAAGGGGTGAGTCATTCTAGCCAAGCTGAGAGAGGGGAGCAGCCAGTGCATAGGCCCTGAGGTAACTTGGGGGGACAGAGATGAGAGACGGCCTGGGATGAGGATGAGAAGGAGTTGCATACCATGGACACAGTAGAGGCCAGGCAGAGCTCTCTCCACGGTGATCTCTGTCTCAGGGCAGGGGCGAGCCATAGGAAGGTTTTAAGTGTGGAAGTGGGGTCACAATCAGGTGGTTTTTGGAGGAAGAAAGGTACAAGAGTAGAAACAGTCATCTAAGCAGAGGAGGGCAACAGAGGAGAGCAGATCCCAACCCGGCAGCAGCAGTGTGCAGCAGGGTAGGGATCCCAGGCCCTGGTGACAGGGTTGGTGCCTGCAGATACAAAGGAGCCCAAGGTGGGAGGTGAGACTATGATAGAGAGGGAAAGAATGGGTCAAGGGGGTCAAAGCCACAGACCTTTGTCAGCACTTGGCAGTGGGAGCCAGGGCCAGAGGCTCCAGTGAGCCCCTCACCTGGGGTGAGGGCCCAGTCTGAGAGGGAGCCCACCCTCGGCTTTGGGCAGGCCGAGGTGCTGTGAGAACATGACTGTCTTGAAGAAGCCCTCCTTAGCCACACAGCCCCCCAGCTCCTGGCCCCTCAAGCCCTGTCACAGCTGCAGTTGGGCACACAGTGGCAGCTCTGGCCCTGGGGTCTGCACAGTGCAGAGTACAGCTTGGCAACCATGGAGACACATGAAGTGGGAGACATGGACTCCAAAGCTGGCTCTGCAGCCTCAGGGCAGCAATGGGATCTGCCACTGTCTGCTCCCTCTAGGCCTCAGTGTCCCCTTCTGTGAAATGGCCAGGCTGGGGGGTGTCGGAGATTTCTGGGCAGGAGCCCCTTCCCGGGACAGTCCCTGCCAGCCCCCATTTGTAGGTCCACTTCTCCCCTCAAGAGCAAATGCTCGTGGACCGGATCCCCTCAAGAAGGAGTCTGTGGGGGTCCCTGTCTCCCGGGCCTGTTCCCTCACTGTCTCCTGCTCAGGGCTCCCTCAGGCCTGTGGTCAGGAATGTCCGTAGTGGCCACCTCTGTCCCTCAGGATCTCTGGGAAGACACTGAACCCCACACCCAGCAGGAAGGAGAGACCATACCAGTGAACAGTTCATGGACAGAGTCACGGGCCCAGCCACTAATGAGGACGGTGGTGCAACGGGAAGAGGAGAGGCCATGCTAGGCAGGGAATGGGCCCAATGCAGCTCGGGGGCAAAGGAAGGATGCCGTGAAGTGCAGAGACGACAGTGACTCAGTGTTCCGAGCCAGACCACGCCATGGCTTTTAACAAACTCACTTAAGCCTCACCACCCGCAGAAGAAGTAGGTTGCCTTACAGATGAAACAGGCTCAGAGAAGTTAAGTAATGTGTCTCAGGACACACAGCTAAAGAGGTAGCAAAACAGCAGGGTGCCAGTTCTGGCTTTGCCACCATGAGGGGTGATGCCAGTGGGGAGGAGGAAAGCTACCCCCAACCCCACTGCTGGGGCCCAGGGGCAGAAGGGCCATCACCTGCCCGTGTCCACGGAGGGTCACCAAGCTGCTAACGCCGTGCAGCTTCAGATGCTTCTCTGGCCTTGGTTTGGAGGAGAAACCTCTGCAGCCCCAGGGCTCCCTGGTAGAATCTCAGACATGGGCTCCACCCCAGCTGAGCAGCGTGGTTGGGCCTGTGGCTCCCTGTTTGTGCCTCCCTCCAATGGTGCCTGCTCAGCCCCTAGCTCCGGCTGACCTGAGCCTGTGCCCTTCTGCGCCACTGTCCTTAGCATTTGCCAGTAATTCCCACTTCCTGCTGTGGCCATGGCTGGAATGTCAAAGCCACCTCCTGCCTGGTGCCAGGACCCTGGGTGCGGGGGGGAGGTTCCCTCCCCTGCCTCTGCTATTTCTGGACCTCAGTGCTGCAGGCTGTGTTTTGGGAGAAGCAGATTATCTGCTTGGCAGAATCAGCCAAGGGGATGTGAGTTCCCAGACGCAAACCTGGAGATTCCCAGGCTGTGGGAGACCACGCTGTGGGTCTGTTCCCCCGGGGCTGCACACTTAGGGTCCACACGGCCAGGGGTCCAGCTGCATGGCCCAGGGGTGTGCGTATGTGGTGCCTGTGGTCACACCGCTCTGCAGTTGTCTCTCATGCTGCCTAATGGACAGGCTGATCAAGTGGGGCTGGCTTGTGGCCTAGCAGGGACCTGGAGGGACAAGGGCCACCCCTGCAGGAGCCTCTGTCCAGGAAGTGACTCAGAGCCATGGGCAAATGGAAAGAGAGACCTGGGGCTCTCCCCACCTCCCACCTGGCATGCACCCACTGATCCCCGCTTAGCAGCAGGCCCTGTTCACAGACATGCCAGGGGTCTCTCACTCCCTAGGGCAGGAGGCTCCTACTCATGGGCTGGGAAGAGGGCCCAAGTGTTCTTATCTTTCCATGGTGACACCACCATTATCCTTATCTCCATATTTTCCTCAAAACATTCTCTTAGCCCTTCCCCGTCAGGAGGTATTAGGAGGCCTCTAAGGAAAAATGAGTGCAGGGTGCCATGGCATGCCTGCAGTCCCAGCTACTTGGGAGACATGCAAGAAGATTGCTTGAGCCCATCAGTTCAGGGCCAACCAGGCAAATATAACAAAACCTGATCTCTAAAAAAAAAAAGGAAGAAAGAAAATGTATGCAAATTATAGATGCAAGATTAGATACCAAAGTGAATATTTATTTAGAATGAGGGTGCAAACAAATGACAAATGTATACAAAGTGACAAACCACCTCCAAACATAAAATGCAGAGAAAAATCCCTTCCCTAAGCAGAAGCCTGCGGTTTAATGGCCCACTGTGCCCAGGCCAGGTGGGGTTGGTGAAAGACCCAGTGTGAACCGGCCAGGCACCAATGTGTCCTCTGTGCAGAGTTTAGGAAACTGAGGCCGGCCTGTGGGGATAGGGAGGGACGGCCTGCCTGTTTCACTTCCACGTCCCAAACCTGTGCAGGGCAGGGGGCCAGACAAAGGAGAGGCCGCTTTGATATCCAACCCCTCATTCCCTGGGGCCCCAGAAGTGTGCCTTCCCCCCGCAAGGCAGGCATCAGCCTTTCACACTGGCCTCACACCCCCCCATCTCCCAACCTCCCCCCTTCTCCTCCAGATGTGGGCTCAGCTGTAGTTTTAGAACAGCCCACCCCTTGGACATTCTTTCCTTCTAATTAAGATGACTTCAAATCTCCCCTCTGCAATCAGCCCTGTTGTTCAATCCTCAAATATCAAAGGGTGGCCAGGAGGCGCTGCCTCAGCTGGTTGTAGGCTTGGATTTGTTTTCTTTTTTAAATCATTAAGTTGAAAATGAGACCCAGAACCTGAGTGAAGGAATGCCAGCTCTTAGGATGGCGAAGCCTGCTTTTGGTAGAGTTTGCTCTGCACACCCCTGCCCCCCACCTGGCTAGGGATCTCAGCTCCCCAAGGTTAGGGTCTGTCCTGTGTCCTGTGTCCGCTCTCAAGATGCTCAGTACAGGCACACAGAGCCCTGATGGCCCAGCATCTGTGCAGTGGGCAGCTGGTCCACTGAGCAGTGGCCCCACCTTGCAGGTGAGCAGACGGAGGCTGGTGAGGTGTACCTGTTAGGACGGCAGGAGCCCCGCTGGTGTCGGCCTCAACCAGACCTGTGGCTGGCCTGCTGTCCTTGAAGGTGTTTCATTGCCTGCCCTGGTGTTCAATCAAGGTCATCAGGACCCCCAAGCTCCACCCTGCTGCCAGTCCACATGGGGGCATTCAGGAAGGCTGCAGGGAGTGGGGACTTGCACCCCTTGAACACTGGAAGTGATAGGCCACACCCACCCTAACGCTTGCTTCCTCCACACCAGTGTCCAGCGACAGAGGAGGAAACTGAGGCTCAGAGAGCTGGAGAGCCTGGAGGCTGCTCAGCCCACTAGTGACTGACCACAGGCTGGGCAGCCACCTCGCCCCCAGATCTGCTAGGGCTGATCCTTGGAGAAGGGGCCAGGGTCCTGCGTCCCTGACTCCAAGCTGCAAGGGACCTGCCAGGCCCCCCCGGGATGGAGGCAGAAACAGGGTGGGGGTGGATGCCAGGCTTCTCAGTTCCTGCCCAGGGTATGGGGACAGAGGAAGTGAAATTGCACTGGGGCAGGTGGGGCAGGGCAGCCTCCTTGAAGGCCCCCCCCCCCCAGTGGTGCACAGAGAAAGTCCTTCTTTGTTTTTGTACTGGGAACTGAGCTACATCCCCATCCCTATTTATTCTTTATTTTGAAGCAGGGTCTCGCTAAATTGCCCAGTCAGGACTCTAATTTGCGATCCCCTCGCCTTTCAGAGTGCTGGGACCACGGGCGCGCACCACTCTGCCCTTTGTTTCACCGGGCCTTCCTGAGTTGGCAAGCTCGGCGGGCGGACTGTAGAGCTCGGGCTCTGTCGCCCCCTCGCGGCCATACGTTGTCTCCGCGGCAGTGGGGAAATTTAAGGGGTCCCCGCAGAAGTCTGAGTCTAGGGCCCGGAATCCCAGGTCGCTCCTCACGCGGGCCAGAGGTTCCCAGACCCAGGTAAGGGGCAGGGGCATTTTCGGAGACAAGCGTAGGTCAGGCAGGCCGCGCCCCGATTCCTGCGGGTGCTGGTGGACTCCCGGGAGGGATGTAGCCTAAGTGGGCATCAATTACACCAGCCGGCTCCGGTGGATTGTTTTCGCCCTCTCCGTTTCCTGCTGTGCGCCGGTAGCAGATCCCTCCCCACTCTGGGCCTCAGCTTACCCATCCGTGGAGTAAGGGGCCCTTTCGTGCAGAAAGGATGTAGTGACTCCCTCTCCTTACCGAGAAACGGAGACTGGGCACCAGTCAGAGGAGGGAGGCCTAGGGCTGCAAGGGCCAGGGCGTGTTCTTTGGACCCCCTCCCCACCAGCTCTTGCTGTTTGGCCTCAGTTTAGGGCGAGGCTAGCGGGACCCCTACCCCATAAGGTCAGCCAGCCTGGACTTGACAGTCTGACGAAGAGCCAGGGAGTTGCAAGGGTGGGGAGGGCTTCACCGGGAAAGGAGGCAAGGCCACCCACGTGTGATTTATTGAGATGATTAGCAGTCAGCACCTAGGGCTACACGGGATGGATGTGAGGCCCTGAGTGCGAGAAATACAGCTGTAACTTTCAGTACTCAAACTTAACTCCCAGTTAATGTTTAAAACCCTGAGCCTCCTGGCTAAAGGATAATCTTATTTAGTGGTTGGCGAATTTATGCACACACTGGAGGCTCTGATTCTGGCCAGGTGGGGTGGGCTTAGGGTATCCAAAAGGAATTTCTCGGAGAACCAAAAGGGACCAGTTCAAATTTTGTACTTAACCGCATGGCTATCTTCAAGCTTTTACTATATAATCCATGTATTCTTACATGATATAAGGCATGCTTTTGCATGTTTCCAAACTTAATATAAAGGCAGTATAGTGTATGTGTCTTTCTGCAATTTTGCTTACACAGAACTGTGATTCAGCCTATGCTGACACTTCCTCTAGTCCACTGAGTAGTAGGGTAATCATATACTGGAATTTCTCTTCTTTTTGGTTGTGCTGGGGCTTGAACCAGGGGCTGTGGATGCTATACACATGCTCTACCACTGACTACATCTGCAGCTCCTATCTACATTTTCTTGATGCTTGACATTTGGGTTGTTTCCAGTTTTCTGCATCTGTGAACAGAAGTTTTTGACCATGGGTTTAAGAGATTCTCTCAGGCTGGCCATGGGGGTGCACATCTGTAATTCCAGCATTCTGGGAGGCTGAGGCAAGAGGTTCACAAGTTCAAGCCCAGCCTAGGCAACTTGGTGAGACCTTGTCTCAAAATGTATAAAAGGGCTGGGAATGTAGTTCAGTGTGAAGGCTCTGGATTCACACACACACATGCACACACACACACAAAGTTTCTGAGGAAGTGCTGGAATTGCTGAGTCAAGCAGTAGTCCAACTTTGATTTATCAAATATGCTCAAACTGCTTTAAAGCATCATTGCACCAGACTACATTTTCAGCAATACTACATGAGCACTGTAATTGAGCCTCCTCAACACTTGGCATTGCCAGAATTAAACAGTTACTATGACGTGTGTGAAACACCACACTGTGGTCGATTTTTTTTTTTTTTTTTTTTTAAGCAGACTCATTATGTGGTCAGGCTGGTCTTGAACTCACTATGTAGCCCAGGCTGGCCTCAAACTTGTGGTGATACTCCTGCTTCAGCCTCCCAAGTGCTGGGATTACAGGCATGCACCATCATGCCTGGCCACTGTTGTGGACTTAAGAGTAGTTATAAAGGTGAGCTTCTGTACTAGTCCATTTGTGTTGCTATAACAAAATATTCAAGGCCAGGTTACTTTAAAAGTATAGGAAAAGTTTACTTGGTTTATGATTCTGGTGTCTAGTCACTCCAAAAAACATGGCAACTTCAAAAAACTGGTCACAACCTGGCAGAGAAAGTAGACTGTGGAAAAAAGCCCAAAACACATACACACCAATCTTCTGGGATGGCCTTGCTTTATAGCCATCTGTTTCCTCAAGAATCAACTCACACTGGGAGTCCAGCATTAATCCATGATGAGGCTAACCTCTAATTACTACTTAATTACTACCATGTTCTAGCACCTCAGCACTGCCACTGCTGGGCAACCAGCTTCCAGCACATGAATCTTTAGGGGACAAATGACATCCACACCATGGCAGCATCTTTTCCGTATTTTTTTTCTTCTGTTTTCTCACCTGTAAATTTCCTTTGTCCATCTTCTTTAACTTACTGATATTGAGGAGTTCTTCATATATTCTGAGTATTTATACTTTGTTGGTCGTATGCTTTTGGATAACTTCTCTTTCTAGGTAGCTTGTTTTTAATTTAATTAAAAATTTTTTGGTGCTGGGGATTGAGACCCAAACCTTGCACATCTCATCTTTTGACTAGCTTTTTGTTTCACCTCTTCACGCTGTCTTTTGATTTAGATTTTTAATTTTAATGAGGTTAAATCTTGCCAACAAATATCTACAGTTTATGCTTAGGCTATATTCTATATTTTCTTCTAAAATGTTTACAGTTGCCTCTTGGAATAAGTTGGTGTTCACCTGGAACGATTTTGTGTACAGGGTGCAATAGAAATCCAATGTCATTTTCCCACATATAATCAGGTCATCGCACTGTTTATTAGCCCACAGTTTCCCACTTTTTTTAATAAACAGGGTCTCACTATGTAGCCCAGGCTGGCCTTGAACTTGTGGAGATCCTCTTGCTTCAGTCTCCTGAGTGCTGGGATTGCAGGTCTGGGCCACCATGTCTGGGTTCCCATCTACAGTAGACCCTTGACTTACGAAATCAATTCTTTCTCAAGGTTTGGTTGTAACTCAAGTTGGTTATAAGTCAAGACTATTTTTCCCATAAGAAATAATGGAAATACGCATAATGTGTTCCAAACCTCCAAAAGCATCCCTTAACTAACCTTTTCATAATAAAAAAGGGTCATATAATGTGTGTAATTTACAAGAAACACCAATAGTTTTTCTGGTGTTTTTTTTTGGTACTGGGGATTGAACTTGGGTCCTTGCACTTGCACAGCAGGCAGTGAAACCACTGAGCTAAATCCCTGGCCCAAGTGTTTCTAATGTATTCACCAAAAAGTTATAAAATGTGCCTAGTTTACCAGAAACAACAAATTCATACTGTACTCACCATTCAAGTTGACATCTTCGGCTTGCAGGAAGGGAGGAGGAAATGGAAGGTGGGTATTGTTTGGAAGGAGCATCCCCTTCCATAAGAACATCAGGAATCTGGCTCTCTGGTGTCCTTTCTCTCCTTGGGGGAGTCTGTAGCCCACTAGGACCTGCTTCTGACTCACTAGGTCTCAACCTTTTCAGAACTAAAAACTGGTCTAAGGTTGTCTGTTTCTGCCTTTTATCTAATACTGTTCTGTAGTATGACATGATTCATCATTAAGCAAGTGAATGGAAGGATTGGCTTTTTCTCCATCTGGGTGGGTCTGCTCTACAACTGTGTAGCTCTGTGCATTTTTTCAGGATTTCCTTTATTTTGCTGCACTGATTGTTGATACTCCTCCTTCTCTTCAGAAAGCTCCTCAGCTGCCATTCTCTGTTGCTCAGGCAGCAGTTGCTGAAGTTCCTCTGTAGACAATTCCTTTACATCGCTCCCACGCAAGCCTATGGACTCTGTTATAGTGACAATGTCATCAACCACAGGGTCAAATGAAGGCTCAGGGACCTCTACACAGCCTTCAAAGTCTCTCCTGTGTAATTTTAGGCTGCACTTTCTTCCAGGTAGATCTCTGTCCTTAGAGAGACACTGGCCCAGGATTTCTCAGTTAAGGCCACACAGGAAAGACCAGCATTTGGGTTGTAACTCAAGACTCTGGTCATAAGTTAAAACTAAAATTCCGCTAATAACGCAAGTTGTTCATGTGTCAGGCTGGTCATAACTCGAGGGCCCACTGCATTTTTTTTTTTTTTTACAGTACCGGGGATCATACTCAGGACTTTGCACTTGCAAGGCAGGCTAAATCCCCAGCTCCCCACTGTATTTTTTCCCCCATTGTATTTTTTAAGGGGGGAAAACAATGATTGTTTTGAGAAAAATAAATCTACCTAAATAAAATGTAAGCAGTTGGAACAACAATATATTAATAGCAATAATAACAATATTATAAACAAGTTGTGTTTACCAAAGAATTCAAAGATGGCTTAACATTAGAAAGTCTAATTTCTTTTCTGTAAAAATCTTTTTGGTCTACGTCTTGTACTTTAACTAGTTTGAAGGATTAAAGGAAAATATCCATATGATCATCTTAACAGATGCAGAAAAGCATGTAAGAAAGTATATCTGCTATTTTGTTTTTCCTTAAAAATGTACAGTATTTCTGGAAATTATTTAAAGGTCAGTGCAGCAAACATCAGACACCAAAGCATGAGCAGTAGAAATACTGTCGTGCCTATTCTGTCTGAGGTCTGCCCTATCGTAGTCTTCGCTCACGATGACTTCAGAATGTCAGCTTCAGCTCTGTTTTTGTGACCACAAGAGCAACTCTGTACTTTGCCCAACTTCTGGATTCTGCAAGGCCCGAGAGCCCCGAAGAACATGAGTAATCCCCTCCGATGGACGTGGGTCCAAGGGCTCCCGGACCACAGGCCAGGGCGGGCTCTCACTCGAGGGCTCCCGGGGCTGCAACCCGAGCCCAGTTCACCTCCGCGCATTCCGCCGAGGACCAACACAGGAGCGCGCTGCAGGGACTGGTGGGTTTGCCTCCGGTGCCCGTAATTCTCCTCCTCCTCGGGGACACGGACCACGGTTTGCGCGAGGCAACGCAGGGCTCGGGGCTCCCATAGCGCGGGGCCGCAGGGACCTCCTAGGTGGGGGGGGGGGCGTGGGCGCCAGGCCGGGGAGGACGCTAGGGCGGCTGCGCAGCCCAAGGGCCGGCGAGGTAGGGTCTGGCAGTTTCTGTCCCCAGGCGGCGACGGAGGAGCCCGCCGTCCCGGGGAGAATTTCTGGGCGACCAGACCGGTCGGACCAGCGGGCCAGCGGAACGGCGACCGGTCGCGTGGTGGGACCGCGAAATGACCGCAGCTCAGCGTTTTGTTTCGGTCTGCACAGATATGCTGTGCCCTCAGCCGAGTAAGAAGTGAATGGCTCTCGGAGGCATGGAGGAGGAGCCGGAGCCGCCCTTCCGGCTGGGACCACAGGTGACCCAGTCCAGCACGCTGCGGCTGCCCCCTCCCCGGCCTGCGCAGGCTCAGCGCCGGTTCCTTTGTCCCGCAGACCTCCCTGGCCTTCCGCGCTAGTCCGTCCGCTTCTGCTTGACTCTTGTGGCTCGCAAACACCCTCTGCGCATGTGCTCTCCCCTCTTCCGGGCGCAAGGTTGCCAGACCTGAGTCATTGCACTCTAGCTCCCTCCCCCCCACCCAGTGATGCCCACACGTCCTACCCGCTCCTGTAACTTTCCCACCTGACTTGGGTCCTACCTTACCCAGAGGTTGGGGCCAGCCAGGGACCACCCACTACCCCCCATCTCTGGGTTTCCCTCAACCTGGATGGTGACCTTCAGGTAGATGTAGGACACTGTCACCTCGCTTCTCAGGCCATATTCCCAGACCACTCTATTTAAAACACAGCATATCCCCTTTCCTGCTTTATGTCTAGCATTAGCTTGATACAGGAAATAATACTGGAGATGAAATATGAAATATAACTCCCAACCTGTTAGATGTCTGATACACTGAGCTCATGTTCTCTAAAAATCGAGCAATGAATTCTAGGAACAACGTAAGTTAAGACTAGGAAGATAGTGATAGGATAGCTCCTGAGAGGCAGGAGGGGCTCCGAATGGTTAGCTGGGGACCCCATTTTACAGAGGAGTTTTATAGAGCAAAACTCATGTGGGTCCAACGTGGGCCACAACCATGATCAACCAATAAAGTTACAAGGATAGTCACTTAGCCAATAGTGGTCCACTTGGGAAACAAGTCACATAACAAGTGTGGACGGAAAGAGCAAAGACTTCTAGAAAATGATGGGACCAGAGGTCTCTGGTTACCACTGGGGTGACTGATATTTACCTAGACTTCATTAGGCCCAGTGTTTGTCCTTTGAGGAAGTATACAGGTCTGGTCATCCTTGTCCTTATCTTGAGGCCCAGCCTCAAACAGATGTGTCTCCAGTTGCAGTTGTGGTGTGTTTCACCTTTGTCCTGACTCTCTCGAGGACCTAGCCCTATCTGACTGCCTATAATATTTCTACATAACTCAGCTGTCTATAATAAGCTGACATACTATATATTTTGCTTGTTCAATTTACCATTGTCTGTCTTCCTGCTGGAAGGAAAACTCCCTGAGGTTGTGGGTTTTGTTTCTTGTTCAGTTATATCCCCACCATCTAGAATAGTAGTAGATTTATTACCAATAGTAGGGAGATAATAAATAGCTGTTCTCCAGGGCCTGGGGATGTAGCTCAATGATAGAGCAGTTGTCTAGTGTGTGTGAGGTCCTGGGTTTGACCTCCAGCATAGCAAAGATAATAAAGTAAGTAAATAAACATTTGTTCCTGAATTATTATTCACCATGATAATGTTTGAACACTTATCCTGATCAAGCATGGTACTAGGCAATAGACGTGCACAGTGTCATAGAATTGAATAATTTCCTGTAGCCTTGGAAACCTGTGGGCATCTCCTGCCATATAGGTTCATTTGTTGTCAAACACTATTCTCTTGCTGCTTCCTCCAGATGAGCTGTCCTGGCCGGGGAGGGCCCTCTCACCTCTGTGCAACTCCCTTGGAGCTGCAACACCACCCAGGTGCAGTCAGATTCTCAAATTCCTGCCTGGCTTCCTCCTATGGCTTCTGGCTTAGGATGGAGTTAGTTAGACGATATGGGAATTACAAACAAGCAGGGCCGATGTCATTGATCCTCTTCCAGACCTAGGGCAAGGTGGATCAGCATGTGCTCTTCCCTCCCCAGCATAGTGTCTCACCGAATAATCAATGCATCTGTCTTTGCCTTAAGCTGTGTCTGTCCCCCAGCACCTGTCCTGACCAGGACAAGCACTGATGAATGAATAAGTAGACTGTAGGTTCTGGAAATTCTTCAGAAAACCTTTAGCCAACCATATAATAAATCTGGCTTGCAGGAATTAAAACCTACAGAACGAGAAAAGCAGTATGATTTTTGGGGGGGAGGGGGAGTCAATGATTTTATTTATTTATTTGAGGAGAAGGTCTCTATGTAGTTCACACTGGCCTTGAACTCACCATGTAGAACTGGCTGGCCTTTAACTCACAGCAGTCCTCCTGCCTCAGCCCTTGAGCACTGAGATTACAGGCGTGCACCACCATGCCTGGCCCCAGTGATTTGATTTTGTAATGTCAGCTATTTTGTGAATGCTTAGGAAAACCTCTGATGGAAGCAGTCTATCATTGTATTTTGGGAGAATGGACAATTTTGGTGTACCAATATATTACATTTTTGAAAAACCTTAATGAGGTCCAGGTCCAAAATGGTGGTGGAGTCAATAGCTACGTCCTCGGGTTCTCCGCTGTTAGGCTGGTTAGCTCAGCAGGTGGGGCGGCCAAAGCGAGAAGGGCTAAGCTTGAATGTGGAAGCCCTCACCTATTTCGTGGCACTTCTCAGGGTGGGAATTGGCATGCTGAGTGTTTTCCCGAAGTCTCACCATGGGGAGGAGGTCCAGCTCCACATTAGGACCAGGCCTTTCCATGGGGAGATGGTAACCATACTCTGTTCCATAACCCTCCTGTGAATCCGCTTCCGACTGGCTATGAAGATGAATAAAGAGAACCTGGGCTATTATTACTGGGGGAATGGGGGACTGCAGCTCTGATTTTCTTTTTTTTTTTTGGTACCAGGGATTGAACTCGGGTCCTTGCGCTTGCGCAGCAGGCAGCGAAACCACTGAGCTAAATCCCTGGCCCTGCAGCTCTGATTTGAACCATTACTCTGCATTCAGATCAGAAAAGCATATGGGACTTTAATCACCTTCTTTGCTCATAGCAGATGACGACCATCATACTGATCTTCCATCCCTTTGCTTGTGGCAAGAGATGGCTTAACTAAACAAATTAGACTGTGATTGGTTTTTTAAAAAATCGTAATGAGCATGTCAATTTTTTTTTCTTCTTTTCTTCTTTTTTTTATAGTGCTAGAGGGAGAGCTCAGGGTCTCATGCATACTAAGCAGGAACTCTTATCACTGAGCTCGAGCCCTAAGCATGTCATTTTGCAGCTTACAATTATACAAGGAAAAATAGAAGCATGATTGTGAATCTCTTAAAAAAAAAAACCCCAACTAAATAGAATGGACGTGAGGGCTCTGAACCCTCTTGGTGGAATGCCTTGGGGACCCCCCCACCAGTCCCTAAGGAGGCTGTACTGGGATGCAGAGCATCACTGTACCGAGTGTGCCTGGCATATATGGCCCATCCTGCAGGTAGACAGTATTAAATCCAGGTCCAGGTAGGGAAGCAACTCTGAGAGTATGAGGGGTCAGGAAAGAGCTAACACTGTGGCCCAGGCACCTCTACCATCTGTGGCTGCTGTCTGCTGCCCAGTGTGTCCCCCATGTTCCCACACATACAGGACCATGTGGGTCCTTCTCTTACCATCGTTGGAGAACCAGCTGGTAGAGGTAAGGAGAGGCTCAATCCAGATTCCTGGAGCCAAACCACTCTGTTGGAGAAGGTTTCCCTGGGGGAAGTCACTGAGACTCAGAGGCAGAGCTTTACTCCACCCTGGGTCCCCAGGTCAGGGGATTGTCCTCTCTAACCACAGCAGGTATGCCCAGTGGCCACCCAGTGACTTCTTTCTCTCAGGAAGATGCTGGGAGAGGGAGGATGCTATGACCCTGGAGGAATACCTGGACTCAGAACAGAAGATTTGGGTTCCCCTGCTATTTGCCAGCCATGTGATCTGGGCAGCTCCACCCCTGTGTGCCTCAGTGTCCTTATCTGCAGAGTAGAGACCTTATTGCCTGGTTCAAATGAATTGCAATGTTGTGATTTGTAGGTCAGTCCCAGGGAGGGAGGCGCCGATAGTTATTGGTTACTCTGTGTTCTCCCTTGTCTTCTCAGATTCAGGGCAGGGTCCTGCTCCTGACCATCTGTGCAGCTGGCATTGGTGGAACTTTTCAGTTTGGCTACAACCTCTCCATCATCAGTGCCCCAACCTGGGTATGTACCTTCTGTGCCCACTGTCACGGTCTGAGTGGGTACTGGGTGGGGACCATCCACTGCCCATGGTGGGGCTTCAGCTCAGCATCTACTTAGTAGTGCTTTCTCCCATGTCACTCTCCACTGTCCCACAGGCTCCTTCAGGTTTAAACAGAGCACTTCATTTTTCTCCAGTGATGACAGTGGTCACTTTAATGGAGGCATAGGGCTGTAATTGACAACCTGGGAGAAGTTCCTCAAAGAATTGTTTGTTTGTATTTTGTCTTGTTTTGCTTGAGACAGGGTCTTGATGTGTAGTTCAGGCTGCCCTTGAACTCAGTATGTAGCCCAGGCTGGCCTCCAATTCGAGGCAATCCTCCAGCCTCAGCCTCAAGTGCTGAGATTACAAGTGTGCACCACCCGCCCTGCTAGAACTGTTTGTTAACAGAAGACATATGGGAGTGTATTCTGAGCAGAAGTAATATGGCATCCCATCCCCATGAAGAAAAGATGGATGGAAAGCTTTAGAAGGGGAGGTGTGAGCTGGCTGCATTGGTTTATGTATTCATTCCATTCACTAAGTATTTGATGCCCACCTCAGTGTAGGCTCACAGCTGGGGAGGGGTCCCTCCATGGGAGTCACAATCAACCTTGCCTCCCAAAGGCCATCTCCAGTCCTCAAAACTGTGCTTTCTTGGACTTGACAGGTCCCGTGGCCCTGCTGAATGATGTTAAAGAAAAAATACTCTATTAAAGAAACAATAAATGAATGACACTAGTTAAACCATGGTTATGCAAGGTGACTCCATGGCAAAGGGGAGGAACCTGATCAGATATTGAGGATGATCAGATACAAAGGATGGGGGATTCTAGCTAAACCAACTTAGCAAGTATTAAATAGAAATTACAGGAGGCCATTGTTTTGAACTAAGTTCCATGCTAAAAATCAAAATGGAGTCACTGTCACGAAAGTTCGCTATCGTCAAACTGAAACTGAGCTGATTATGGGCCTTCTGAAATCAGCATTAGAGATAACAGCCAAATTTCCCAAAAAGCCCAGTTCAACTGGTGTGATGACAAAGATCCCTCTGCTTTAATCCTAACATAAAAGAAGTAACCAAAAATAAGCTGTTGTTAACCAACCAGTTATTTTCCTATTGTTCTGTCTTTCTGTCCCCACCTTACAATGAAAGTAACTTTAAAATAACAAATTTACTTTTTGTTTCTGTTTCTGCTTTATTTGAGGACTTTTCTTTCTATAAAACCAACCTCTTTAGCTTGGTCCAAGAGAACTCTTTATTTTATGGAATGAAGTGTTGCCTGATTCTAAGATGGAAAATAAAGCCAATTAAATTTTTAAAATTTATTTATTTATTTTTGAGGAAGGGTCTCACTATGTAGTTTAAGCTGGCCTTGAGCTCACAAGGTACTGCAGCCTGGCCCCAAACTCATGGTGAGCTTCTTGCCTCAGCCTTCTAAATCCTGGGATTACAGGCATGTGTCACCATGTCTGGCTAATTCAACTAAATTATTTGAATTCAGTTGTCCTTTGACATAGAATTCTTGCTAAAATTGGTCCATGCAGACAATCACAGAAGACCAAAAGTTGAGGCCTACTTTAAAAAGAGCCCAGAAGAGCCTGACTTTCATTAAGTAGTGAATCTCTGCTAGTGGCCAGTCTGGGGGGGGGGGGGGGGGGTCAAAGGTCAAGATCAAGGGAGGCTGGCCCTAGTCTAACTCCTCCAACAGCTCCTCCCCAGGGAGGGAAGTGGCATCTATGACCTGGAGCTATCGAGGGCCAGGGAGAACTGGCCAAGACCTGAACTCACTGGCCTCCCCCATGTCCTGTTGGGAAACCTAAGACTGGTATTGCACCTCTAACCAAGGACAAATGTCCCCGTCTTTACCATGCATAGACTTTCCCAACCACGTGGCTTCCATCTGCTCCCTTGATGCAGTAGCCTGGAAGCTGAGGCTGTATGGAGTGTGAACTATCTGGGTTCAGCCTTGACCTGTGGCTGAGGCCATGGGTGAGTTGTTTCACCTCTCTGGACCTAATTCTCAGTCTTAGCAGCAATCAAAGTTGTGTGTACCTAATAGAGTACATGCAGAATGGGTTCAAGGATACCCATGGATACCAAAACCTACAGATGCTCAAGTTTCTTACATAAAATTGTGTGGTATTTGCATAAAACCTACCTATATTCTCCTGTAGACTTTAAATAATCTCTAGATTACTTATAATACCTAATACAGTGTAAATGTCATGTAAATAGTTGGTATCTTATTTAGGGAATAATGACAAGAAAGTGTCAGGTTCAGTACAGATACAGATATTTTCCTGAGTATTTTTGATCTGCTCTTGGTTCAGTCTATAGATACAGAGGGATGACTGTATCTTTGAGGCATACCACAGTCAGAGTTCCAAGAAAACACATGGCTCACACAAGATAAGTCAAGTGGGTTTGGGTACCACAGAGGATGATTCACAAAGGATGATTAAGTGGGGGTATAGAGAACACACACAGCAAGGGAAAGTGCAGTTGTGCAGATTTAGTAGCACTGCTGTCTCAGCACGTCTCCCCCAGAAAGAGACAAGTAGAAGGAACAATGACCAAAACCAGGAGGAATGAACCATATCGCACGGGCCTCTTCATGAGGAGCGGTGCCCATTGTCTAAGGGTTGCAGCCAGCCTGAGGTGACTTCACAGGGAGGAAACCAGATGGAGCTCCTAAGTTCCTCTCTTCTTCTAAAGTCCTGTTGGAGCTTACCGTTAGCCAAGTCCAACTGAAAACCAGTCAGCAAGGGAACCCAGTGTCTTTGTTACTTTCTCATTGCTGAGACAAAATATCAGACACCCAAAGTTAAAGGAAGAAAGGTTTATTTCAGCTCACAGTTTGTAGAGATTGGCTGGCTCCAAGGCAGGATGGCATGGGAGAGGGGCATCACAGAGGAGAAACAGTACATGGCAAGCAAGCAGGAGACAGCAAAGCAGCAAGCAGCAGCAGCAGCAGCAAACTGGCCTCTTCCTTTTTATCCCATCCAGTCTTTTGGGTGGTGCCACCCACACCCAGGATGGGCCTTCCCATTAGCCATACCCAGAACTATGCTAAATCAGTAAGTGGACTAATTTTGTAATCATGTGCCCTTAATCCCAGCATCACACACCTTAGATCCAGCACCTCCCAAAAGCCCCACCTATGACTGCATGAAGATTTGGGGGGACATCTAGACACAAGCCATAACAGTGATGTGGGCTGGACAGGTGGCTTCCTGGGGCACAAGCAGAGTGGGAATGTGGGATAGTGGGCTTGGAGCATTAGTTGGTCTTTGTCACTGTTCCTGGGGTAGAGGTCCTAAAACCTTTGGAGTTTCCTGAGTGATAGGAGCATATTTTATTTTTTTGTCATGAGCCCCCCACCCCTTTTTTGGTACCGGAGATCGAACTCAGGACCTTGTGCTTGTGAGGCAGGTGATGGAACCACTGAGCTAAATCCCAGCCCTGTCATGAGCCCCTTTTGATCATACCTGAGTTTATGCTAATGACATGACTTTGAATCAGCCCCCTTTGGATAGCATCATATATATCACCAGAAAGCCCAAGTGATTAGAGGGTTAGAACTTTCATCCCCACCCCCTGACCTCTGTGAAGGAGAGAAACCTCAAGATTAAATTCTATAAAAAACTTTGTTTTTGTAGTGCAGGCTGGCTTTGAAATCACTATGCAGCTCAGGCTGGCCTTGAACTCACAGCAATCCCCCTGCCTCAGCCTCTCAAGTACTGGGATTTACAGGTGTGCACCACCACACACATTGTATAAAAACTCTTGAATAATGAAATATGATGAACTTCTGGTTTTGTGAACACACTGAAGTGCTAGGAAGGTGGTATGCCCCGAGAGGACATGGAAACTCCAAACGACCCCCACCAAACGTTGCCCTCTGCAACTTTACCATCTGATTCTTTCTGAGTTTTATCCTTTATAATAAACCAGTTAATGTAAAGAAACTCCCTTTCTGAGTTTTGTGAACTATTCAAGCAAGCTATTGAGGAGAGAATTGTAAAAACCCCATTTTATAGCTGGTCTGTAGAATACAGGAGACCTGGGTTTGCAATTTTCATCTGAAGAGGGGGCAGTTTCATGGTACTGAGCTCTTTGACTTATAGAGTTTGATGTTTACTTCAGATAGTGTCAGAATTGTATTAAATTATAGTACACCCAGCTGGTATGCAGAGAGTTGGGGAATTGCTTAGTGTGGAAAAAACCCACACATATGCTGTCATATGTTGTGTGAGTATAGAGAAATAATGTGATCCCAGAGAGGAGGAAATAGTGAATTCCAGCTCTAGGCTACAGGAGATACAGAATGTGAAGGAAAGCAGCACGTGGGAGGTCAGGTGAGTTTGTTCCTGCCCCATAGAGAGCAGTATTGCTCAGGATACTTGGTGCCTGCTCTGCAGAAGCACAGAGCCTGCAGGGGCTCTGCTTTGCCCCTATCTACAGGGGGCTGACTGGCATCTCTATCCACAGCACATTCAGGAATTCACCAATGAAACATGGCAGGCACGTACTGGAAGACCACTACCTGACCACCTGGTGCTGCTTGTGTGGTCCCTCATTGTGTCTCTTTTCCCCCTGGGGGGCCTCTCTGGAGCACTCCTTGCAGGGCCCATGGCCATCACACTGGGAAGGTAAGTGCTTTCTATGTACCCTCTGATCTTAGATTGCAAACAAAGAATCTGACCTGAAGTAACTTAATAAAAAATGTAATGAATGGAAGGATACTGAGGTAGCTCATAGAATGGAAAGAAGTGCTAAAAAGCCAAGACTCAAGAAAAACATGGGCCAAGGTAGTTTCAAGGATATCAACAGCCAGATCTTTGGACTTTCTTTCTAGGAAGGATTACTTCAGCACACTCAGCTCTACCCACACTCTGTTAACAATGTCTTCATTCAAGATCCAACATCCAGGAGGATGAGTTGTTATTGGTTTGTGTTGGTTCACATGACTACATCTGTGCAAGATTGGAAGAAAGGCAATTTGAGCAGAAAAAACAAATGATCACTACAGTCCACCCCTTTTCTAGGTACCAGCATACATAGACATCTTTCTCCTGTCCCTACCTAACAGTGCTTAACCTTCCTATGTACACCACCGTCTGCATTCACCTCTCCCTAAGTAATACCACTCCGAGCATTGTCTTGTCACACACACCAGGGCAATGTAGTAGAGGTATTCTTCCTGAGCCTGGGAGGCCCATATGATCACTATTCTTCTGTCAGCCCTGAAATTAGGCTCTCTTGATATTTTGCACTTAATGGTAAATTTAATTACAGTAGCCTTCTCTTATCTCTAGGAAATCTGTCTCAAGACCCCCACTGAATACCTGAAATCATGAATAGTACCAAGCCCTATATATATAATGTTTTGCTACACATATGATAAAGTTTAACTTACAAATTAGGCACAATAATAGATTAACAGCAGTAACTAATAATAAATTGAACAATTCTGACAATATACTACAATGAAAGTTCTTTAAAACTCGTGATTTGTTTATTTCTAACATTTTTTCATGTAATATTTTTGGGCCAAAACTGACTGAAACTGAAAAGCAAACTAGTGGATAAAGAGGGATTATTGTATAATTCACCATATAAGAAAAGGAAAAAGGAAGAGTAAAACTAATTAAGGAAAAGGAAACTAGTAGGCAACTCTTTTTTTTTTTTTTTTGGTACCAGGGACCAAACTCGGGTCCTTGTGCTTGTGCAGCAGGTGGCGAAACCACTGAGCTAAATCCCTGGCCACTGGGTGACTCTATTTTAAAGCATATGATGCAGAAAGCCTGGAAATATAAGTAAAGGTTCAGTTCTTGTTTTTACAGTAAATCACAAGGCTGTTTCTTATACTGTGACTTCCATCCTCCGGTTTTCTACTCTTGTTTTAGGCAGAACTTCAACTATTTGAGGCTCTTTGCTCATTATGATGATCCAAATCCTCATTTTTTTCTTCAGTCCTAGGGACTGAACCCAGGGCCTTGCACATGTAAGTACTCTGCCACTAAGATATATCCCTAGCCTATTTGTTTATTTATTTAAATTTTGAGACAGAGTCTCAATAAGTTGCCCAGGCTGGCTTTAGACTCACAATCATACTGCCTCAGACTCCTAAGTAGCTGGGATTACAGACAGGTGCCACCTGGCCTGGTGTAAATCTTCATTGTTGAGTGGGTTTGGTAGTCTTGATTATGTAGGGTCATCAGGCGATCATTACACTCTAAGATCATCTGCTTCTGGATGATGGATTCATGGCATAACAATAAGTTCTATAATATCAACTCTTTTTTCCTTCTCTGATATAACTTCTTTGCTTGAATGAAAAGTTGTACAAGTATCATGTTTTTGTATTTGACAGATGTATCTATTAGGATGTCTTTAACCACAAGGAACAAAAACCAAGACTCAATTGGTTAAAATAATAGGACACCTTTTATCTCATACAACAAGAAGTCAGTAGTTGGGTGACTGCAGGGACATATCAGTGCTCCACCCCTTTCCTCTGAGATTGCTGCAGCTGCAATCTCCACTGTGTGTTAGTTTTATCCTCAAGACTGCAGCTGGAAGTTAAATTAGTGCCTCATTCAGATGCAGCAACATCCAATGGAATGGAAATTTCTTCCTGGATGATACTTTATATCACAAGAAATAAGAAACTCATAAAAAGTGCTGTGTTTCATTGCCCAGCACTGGATTATTAACTGTCTTAGTCTATTCTTGTTCTTATAACAAAATACTTGAGACTGGAAAATTTATAAAGAACAAAAATTTATTTTCTCAGTTTCTGGAGTCTGGAAAGTCCAACCAAAGTATTTGGAAAAGATACAAAATTATACGCTCAAAATTCTATCTACACAAAGAGTTTAATTCCTTCAGTATCTTTTAGGGCTGTGCTGGTGTGAGTGGCCTATTTGTGGGAAGCTTTATGGCCCACATGGAACAAGTTTGCTGTATACCGTTTAAAAAAAAAAGTTTTGGGCTGGGCATTTGGCTCAGTGGTTCCGCTGCCTGCTGCACATGCACAAGGACCCGAGTTCGAACCCCAGCACCAAAAAAAAAAAAAGTCACTAAAAAAAAAAAGTTTTGTTGTTGTTGTTGTATACCAGTTTGATTTAGTGATGAAGTACAACTGGCCACATGCAAACTTCAAAGGGAATGTCACATGGCAGCCAGTTCATGATAGGTCCACAGCCACCTGGTGTTCTAGAGCCTGGTGTTTATTCCTCACCAGGGCCTAGTAACAAAACCAGGAGCTGTTGCTCATTAGCAGGATAGCAATTCATTGGAGTAGAGTGGTTCTACTACAAAACCCTAGATCATGTATTGAGATTCTCCTTTTAGGATGTTCTAAGTGCCACTTTGAGCACCACAGGATGTTCTGGGTCTAAATAGTCTAGTGACAAAGCTCTTTCAACCTGGCTTGGACCCACCAGAGAATACTCCTTTTGCTTAGCTCCACTCAAAGCTGCTGGATTTTCAAGTTATCTGGTACATGTGTCAAGTTACAATACCCAGTGTGGTATTTGCTGGCATTAGCTTTTCTGTTGCTATGACAATTTATAACCTGAGCTAAGTACTTTATAGGGAAAAGGGATTTATTTAGTTCACATTTCTGGATGTTCAGGGGCACGGCACTAGCATTGGCTTAGCTCTCGTGAGAACCTCATAGTGAATGGCATCACAATGGTAGGAGCATAGATAAGAGGGTATGATCATATGGCAAGAACAGAAGCCAGAGTTGAGGGGAGGGGTCATTAACTACATCCCAATAAGCCCCACTACTTAAAGGTCTCACCACCTCTTATCATTGCTGCAATAAAGACTAGTCTTCTAACTCATGAACCCTTGGGGAGACAAAAACATCCCCACAGCAATCCTTTCTCCAAAATGGAAAGAAGCTGAGATTTTCCTTTCTTAGATGAAGAGGACCAAGGTGCTACAGTTTGTCATGCACTTTGGAGGAAATATACTAACAAGTCTTAGTCTATTGGATCTCAGAAATCTCAGTGACATGGCAGTCTCCTCCATATTTTTTTCCACTCCATGTCATATTTGTACTTTACCAAGACTTCTAACATACTTGCTGCTCCCTCTCCTCCAGTTTCTTTCATTGTGGATGTATATTGAAGTAGTGGGCCAGCAAGATGTAAGTAGTGGGTCAGCAAGATGTCCTGTGGAAGACTGGGAATGTAGCTCAGTGGTAGAGTACTTGACTAGCATAGATGAGGCCCTGGATTCAGTCCCCAGTATGGAAAGAATTCCCTGTGGAATAGGCAGGTTCCTGTAGAATAGACTATGGCCCACAGCTTGAGAGCTGCTGTACCCTTAAGGTAGGGCTTCTGTGTGTGTGTGTTATGCAGTGCTAAGGAATAAATCTGGGTCTTGCACAACACAAGAACAGAATATTAAAACCTGTTAGAGAAAAGAAACAAATCCCCTATAATGGAAAGCCCATCAGAATCACAGCAGACTTCTCAATACTAACTCTCGAGTCAAGGAGAGCTTGGTGTGAAGCATTTCAAGTCCTAAAGGAAAACAACCTCCAACCTGGATTGATGTACCTTGCAAAACTATCCTTCAAAATTGATAGAGAAATAAGACACTTTCATGACAAAGAACACCTGAAGAAATTCATGACCACCAAATTGACACTCCAAAATATTCTGAAGAACATTCTAGAAAGAGATAATGAGGACTACAACTCCATGAACATCAAGAGAATGAATCCACTAGACAAGGCAAGTAATTAAGCAGAGAGGGGAGAAAAAGGGAACCAACAACATGAAATTAACATGACAAGGATAAGTCAGTGTATATCAGTTATAACTATCACTGTAAATGTGCTCAATTCACCAGTCAAAAGAAACAGACTGGCAAAATGGATCAAGAAGCAAGATCCATCAATAAGCTTGATACAAGAAACACATTTAATTCAAAAACAAATTCATAGACTGAAGGTCAAAATATGGAAAACAATAATCCATGCGACAGAAACCCAGAAAAAAGCAAAAGTAGCTATTTTATTTGCAGACAAAGTAGATTCCAAGCAAAGAAGGTCACTACATCCTTGGAAAGGGAATCATCCAAGAGGAAGAGATAACAATCATAAATATATATGCACCAAGTCCCAGCACACTCAACTATATAAAACAAATATTAATGGACATGAAAAATCAAATAAACACTAATACAGTTGGGGAACCTCAATATCCCACTGTCACAAATACACAGATCAACTAGACAAAAAAATCAACACAGAAATATCAGAACTGAACTAAACTTTTGAACAAACAGACTTAGTAGATGTCTACAGAGTGTTCCACCCCACAACATCAGAATACACATTCTTCTTAGCTGCACATGGGGTGTCCTCCAAGATAGACCACATACTCACTCATAGAAAATGATTAAGTAAATGCAAAGGAATTGAAGTTATCCCATGCATATTATCAGACCATAAGGCAATGAAATTAGAAATCAATGGCAAAAGAAACCAAAAAACTTCATAAACACATGGAAATTAAATTATACTCTCCCTGAAAAACCAATGGGTCACAGATGAAATTAAAGAAGAAATTAGACAGTTCTACAATTAAACAATAATGCCAATACAACATACCAGAAATTATGGGAC